CAAAACCATAAAGTATCTAAATGGTCCATAATGAGGGTGAATTGGTCCGTAAGGAGGATTCGAACGAATCTTGTCATAAGAAGGTTTAGTAATAAGCTTTCTCATTGAACATGTTTGACACGCAATTCCTTGGATCGAACCTAAACTTTGGGTTAGTGGATGCCCGTGTGATGATTTGAAGATACGGCACATCACTATTCGTCCAGGATGTCCCAAACGATTATGTCAAATTGTAATTTCGTGTGCAGTTCCAGTAGTAGGGCCGACCATATAGTGACATTCTATAAGGCGTACAGTCGTAGTATACAAACCACTCGGAACACGCTCCATCTTATCTAGAATATGCTTCTGGCCATATTAGTATGAAGTTATGCACATAAATTCAACTTCGTTTCTACGTGGGTTTCAGCTTGGTAATTGTAATCTCTAATGTCTTTGAAACTCAACAACGTTCTTCTGGAACGTGGAGAATAGAGTGCTTCAGAAATGGTCAAGATTGTACCATTGCACAAAATTATATATGCCTTACTGTATCCTTCTATCAAGTTGGATGGGCCTGATAGGGTTGTCAGAGGTGCATTCTTAGGTATGAAGTTAGTGAAATAGATGCGTTCATGCAAAACTGTGTGCGTGGTTGCACTGTTTGCCAGACAACTAACTTTCCTACTAGTTATACCTAGAATGAAAAATTAATTTGAATCGGTCACATGCATAAAAGTTCATAAAAAAAAAATATCAATTCAAAATAATTTCATTATTCAAGGATGATAATTAATTAAAACTTGATATCCAAAAAACAAATCACCAACAAATAATCCAAGCATAAAGGAAAATTGTTCAAAAATTAACTAAAAACAAAAGAAGGGTTCGACCATTACGTGGAATTCGGCCCATTGTCTTATTTCAACTAAAAAATAAGTCTATGTCTAAGATTCTAATCTTCCATAGGGGTGGTATCATCTTGAAAGTTAGAAACCTCCATCTTTGTAGACTCCGGTTCATCCACTTGCACAAAGTTTGATTCAAACTTCTTAAGATGAGAATGAAATTCATCTACAACCTTCTTGGAAGCTTGGCAAACACGGGACCAATTGTCTTTTGAACCACATCGTTAGCACATATCCGCGTCAATGGTTTTAGGTGCTTTGCCTTTATTATTGAAGTTTGGGGCCTTGGGAGCAAGGTATTAACGCTTATGGGCTTTGTTTCCTCCCTTGGATAGGCCTTGACTCTGTTGACCTTGGTGGGATGTCTTCTGGCCGCCCCTATAATGCCTCTTTTGGTGTTTTGGGCGTTGGTTTGTGCTATAATGTGCTTCAGGCACAACAGTGGCCCCAGTAGGTTGAGTTTGATAATTCTTCATCAACAGTTGGTTCTGCTTTTTAGTGAGAAGTAAAACAGAGATTAAATTTGAGAACTTAGTGAACTTCTGAGCTCTATATTATTTATGCAGGACAATATTAGAAGCAGAGAAGGTTGAATAGGTCTTCTCCAGGAGATCTTCTTCGGTCAAAGTTTTATTACAAAACTTGAGAAGTGATCGTATTCGACAAACTTCAGAATTATATTCATTCACATACTTAAAGTCTTGGAAGCGTAAATGCTACCAGTCATGTCTTGCTTCACGCAAGAATATGTCATTTTGGTGATTAAAACGATCAGCCAAAGCGACCCAGAGTGCACGTGGATCCTCCTCGGCAAGATACTCAGTTTGCAGAGTGTCATGGATATATCTTCGGATGAAGATCATGGCATTGGCTTTTTACTTGATAAATATGAAATAATGTATAGGAGAAATGATGAATAAATAAGGGTGGTGAGAAAAAAAGAAAAGAAAAAGAAATGAAAAAAAAAAAGCATAAAGGAAAAATAATTAAAAATAGTCTTTGGTTTTGGAAAGACTTATTTTTGCATACTATTTTTCTTCTTCCGTAAATTCATGTTTAAAATTGTCCATCGATTTTACTTTGTTTTATACAATTCAAATAGCATAAATATATACGAGTTTGCATTTATTAGAGAAAACGGCGTAAGTTTCTTGTTTTTTTTCTTCCTTTAGTGTACATTTTCTTACACATTTCTTCAACGTCTTTTTCACCATCCTTGTCAACTCTTGTTTACCTCTCTTTTCCTCTATACAAAAAAAAGAAAGCTAAAATGAAACTATTATTAGACGGATACTTATAATTTTTAATTGTAAGGTTACAAATTTTCTAAACTAAAGCAAACGAGTTGAGTTCAAAATTCGAAATTAGAGGTAATGAGTCATGGCGGACAACCAAATTTTGTGTTTTTGGTATTGCGAACATATTTAGCGTGTATATGGGCATCAAACGAAATGTTTACTTGAAGAAATGATACTCGACACTATACAATGGATCCACACAAAAAACGGCACTCCCCTATGAACGGTAATCAGTTATGTTGGCTATTGTCCTTTCACGAATTGTTATATCTTCGAAGAATTACTCCAGAACTACAAACTAATCAAGAGAACCTTCTCCACGTTTGTCGTTGAATGACTTTGATGTGTAACATATGGCTGCTGTTCTCCCACAATCAACGTTAGCGAGGGGTTTGTATTTTTCATGGTCATTTTCTACTGGAACATAGTAATCTCTGCTCTAATATACTAGCGTGACAAGAAGAAGGAATAAAACGAAAATCTTAAAAATTAATAAACTATAATTAACTAGAAAGCATGAGAAAGGTTTTAAAGTTGGGTGATGCTAGCCACATTTTTTTTTATGCCACACACTGTTATCAATTTCCGGTTGTGAATGACCGAAATTAACAGAATTGTATAAGAGGTAAAAAATGGTGGGGAAACAGTACCATCCTTAAAGTTTAAGGTTAAATACTCTGAAAGATAACGGCCTAACACCACATAAAGTTGGTTTTATAATCTACCACAATCCTAGGCTTGCAAAAAAATCTCATTAGAAGCAAAATACAAAGGTATTGTTATCAACATAACTATTTTTATTTCGCACACATCCTTTTTAATTTTTGACCGTTGGATCAAGTGAATTAAAGAAGATCAATGACCAAATTAAGGGCGTGTAGAAGGTAAAAAATAGGGATGATAGTACTATCCAATACAAAAATAACAAAATTATGAAAATATCCTCAAAACTTGAAACTTCAAATTTAGCATTATGCCTAAAAAGTCAATTGCCACTCGTATGAGGAGGTTGCACTCGTGACACTATTTTAGATTGAGTGAATTAAAGAAGATTAGTGGCCAAAACTAACAAGAATGTGTGAAAAATAAAAATAAAAATAAGTGTGTTATGACACTATCCAATACAAAAATAATAAAATTATGAAAATATCCTCAAAACTTAAAACTGTGAATTTAGCATTATGCCTAAAAAGCCAATTGTCACAACATATGAGGAGGTTTAACTCGTGACGCTATTCTCTTTAAACGGTAGCTCATGAATTGAAACCAACCCAAATCTGCATCACAGAGTTTGCTTCCAGATTAATTTGCGCTTGTTGAGTTTTTTTTGTTTCATTTTTAATATGATTCTACCCTAATTTGTTCTAAATTAAAACATCATTTGATAGAGAGAAGAAAATGATAGGCTAAACTAGATAAATGATCTTCGTGTTGATAAGACATTTGGAATATAGCTCTTGTGGTGAAAAAATTAGAAACTAAACCCTTGTTGTGAAGATGATTAGAAATTAAGTCTCAAATTAAAATTTCCGTCAAGTTACTGTCAAAAGGCTGCACATGAGCCTCACATACAAAGTTGAATTAATCTGAAACGATGAAATCGGCTTCTGGGTGTCGGAATTCATATTTCCATGCTTGATGCTAGCCACCAAATTATGTTTAGGGTTTGAACTCAGATTTCTCCTACCCGAAAAGAAGTTCAAAGAAACATAAACATGAAGAAAACAAAGCAGAGAGAGACAAAGTTTTGCAGCCAAAATCATTCTACAGGCTTGCAAGTCAGTGAGAGATGAGATGTGGCTTAGCGATCGATAGAGGCAAAAGAGAGCCGTGTGTGCACCTATGTGAAAGAGGGGAAATGGGTTAACAGACATTGACTATTTTACCCTTTTACGGGAGAGTCACCTGCAACCTTTTGACGGCAACTCGATGGAAATTTTAACTTTAAATTTGTAACAATTTTCACAACAAAGGTTTAATACTTAATTTTTTTACCACAAAAACTATATTCCGAATTTTCTATCATCATGAGGATAATTTATTCATTTTGATCAAGATGATATATCTTGATAATATAATCGTATCGAGTACAACAACCCTACGCACGCAGTGACTGAAATACGAATAATTTGGTTGTGCTGCTTGTGCAAGCCTCTGTTTCTTTGCCTTATTTATTACGTTTATATTTTATCTTGAAAGTTTAACAATAGCAACATATTACCTATTAATACACTAGAAAATCTGTTCACAAACAGGTTATATTTTACAAGTATCATGACACCATTAAACCTATGATTTGACAATACGATCATAAATAGTGAGCAAATAGGAATTGCTAAAAGTAGATAGTACGTAAGTTTTTTTTTTTAGTACACGATAATACATAAGTTAACACTACAGCCAAGAACTATTTAAAGCAAAATCTATAAAAGGTCGTACCCAGTGCACAAGGTAAAATTTAAAACACAAAAAATAAAAAAATTAATACTAACAAAGAATCAGTTAATGATTTTGACACGACAATTCATCTTTTCCGAAATTAAGAAGACTCACAAATACGTTTCGTATTCATGTAATATAGAGTGTTTCCTAGGACCACCACATGTTGCCTTTTTTATTTTCCCAATCCATCCAACTCCACTAGAAAAGGAGGGTGAAATTTCGGTTCATGGGACCCTTCCTTCCCAAACACAGTAGTGGTGAAACCATTCATGGACGCAAATTCTCTCGCCGTCCGATCCTTTCGCCACTAAATCCAACGGCTGTGTCAGCTTAGAATTAGTACAATTACCTTAGTACTACTGCCTCTCGCTCTCTCTCTCTCTCTTCTGTGCAAACAAGAGCGTGCTCAAAACGTCTAAAGCTTTATAACGCCAACTCTTTTTGCCTACACAATAATTGTGCTCTCACCTCCATAAACTTCAAAACTCCACCGGAGTAAAGAGCCGGATCCGAGTTCTACTGGGTTGGTCTGAAAAGATCTGAGGAGCAAAAATTTCCACAGGTATTATAGTTCGTTTAATTAATAAACGAACTTTGGTTCAACCTTTTCTTTTTTGTTTATAAAAAGTGTTTAATTTGCTTCGTGCAGTTCTTCTTCTTTCATCTAGTACTGTCATGAAGAAGATCTTTTAGCTTTTATTCTCTTTCTTTGTTTTCAGTCATGAATTATTTGCACTTGTCTGTGTCAAGTGAATAATTACCATCATATGATTAATTAGTAATATACAATTAAGGAAGCAACTGTTTTTGTGTAAATTATAGCGCACTCAACACTTATATGGATAAAGTTGTGAGCTGGGTTGGCTCTAAAAACTCCATTAGGATTGCTGGATCTAAGTTATGTTTTTCTTTTTGTTGAAGTAATGAATGGTAAAAGTTAGTTTTCTTAAAAAGAGTTATGGAATTAGGGTTTCATAAGAGGAGACGTTGTATTGTTGATTTGTTGAGTAAAATTTTTTTTTACGTGTGGTTTTGAATTGCAGGCTTTTATCTCTATCTTTCTCTACTTTTGAATGAGTGGTGGTTAATTGTATGCAGGTTTGTGCTTCAAGGTTTGGCTGCCGACAGAGTTCAAAGCTCAACAGCCAAACCACTGTTTGTGGGAAAGTCTCCACAAGTTCAAAGCTAATTCCTGACAAGTACTCAAGGTAAACTTTTATCTATCTTTTATTGTTTTCTCTTTTTTATTTACTATTTTCTTCGGGAAATCATGCATAATTTTCTTGGATTTATTACATTGCTTGGAAATGTAGTTTTCAGCTTGATTGATGTGGCTAGAAGACATGCATGTGTGCTTGCATTTTTGTTGAGGAAGACAATATATTGGAGCAATTTTTCGAGTTGGAATTCTTTTTAATAATTAAGGGGAAAAAAGTAGTGATCTTGGTGAACTTTAGTGGATGGAGATGAGTGGCTTTAGGCATGAATCACATGTAGCACAACAAAGTCGGCGAGATAAGTTGAGAGTTAATCAAACTTCAAGCCCACCTCACCATCTTGACAATTTAGCAAACAATTCTGGGAAGTTGCCACTCCATCCAGGACTAAACCCAGATATCGTGCAAGTTCGAAATGTGAGGAATGCGAATTTGCTCTATGATCCAACTATGTTTTCTTCTGAAATGCTCGATTTTTCAATCAATGCAAATGCTCCGTTGTCAGCTCACAGAATCACATTGGCATGTCATGATCAAGATCTAGGGGCAGCTCAACCCGCCGGCGGCGAGAGTCAGAATTTTGGTAATTGGAGAAGTACTCTTAATCCACCTCAAAGCATAGATTGGGTGAATAATTACACAAGTGGATATCAGGATGTAGTTCAGTCTAGTTTGGCCAACTCATCTGCTGATCAAATTTCTAGTCATCATGTTGCCCAAAAGCACTTGGGAGGAGGAACAATGCACTTTTCGTCCCCTTCGATAAAATTCGTTAACACTCTCCAAGATGTTGTCACTTCAGCTTCTCAAGGGACGCAGCAGGATCAGCTAGAAATGGCTTCAATTGTGCACCAAAGAATCATGGAAAATGAACTTGTTCGCGTTCCAAGCTACGGGAATCAATCGAACACATTGCGCTTCAATAGTGCGAGTAATTCTTGGATGGATCGGCAGCCTATCGAGAATCGCCATAATTGGAGTAGTGGTGGTGGCGGGGGACTAGAATTTAGTACTGCAAACAGTGTTGATGAAGAAATGAGGACCGGTATGAGTAGCGATTCCAACCAACAAGGGCTGTCTCTATCACTCTCATCAAATCCACCATCTAATAAACTGCCTGTGGCTCAATTAATTGGGTCTCAAGATTTACATGCGAGCACTGATGATGATGATGATCATCATCATCAAGCACTTAAGGATCTTCAAAATTCGAAAATGGGGAAATCTTCCGGTGGATACTTGTGTTCCATAACAAAGCCATCTATTATTAGCAAAACTTGTGGAAAATCACTTAAAGACATTGTGGGGAATTCTAGTACTAGCGCCTATCGAAGCACTGGTCCTCTTGGTCCTTTCACTGGATATGCAACGATTCTGAAGAGTTCGAAGTTCTTGAAACCGGCTCAACAGCTACTGGATGAATTCTGTTGGGTTAGTGATTCAAAGATACTAAAAACATGTGAGGCATCTGAAAGGATGTCTGGAGATGTGAGTGCTTCGGCCTCGGTTTCAATTTCCATTGAAGCTGGTAATGCAACCGAAACTGAAGTAGTGGCCAAGAGGAACAACTCCGGTGCATCTTCCTCTACGTTTTACGGTTCAACGGAAATTAGCAGTGATGGTGGAGCTGCAAGCATATCTTCTGAGTCCTTTTGGCCGGAGTATCAACAAAAGAAAGCAAAGCTCCTATATATGCAGGAGGAGGTTAGTGATGTTTTATGTCTCCTTTTTAATTATTAGTTACTATGTCGATTTTTCAATTGTTTATGTCTGCGATAGAGTAGTATGCAACATTGGATCTTGATAACAATGCGGTAATATGAGGAGGTAATACTTGATTGGTTTTGATTGCATTGGAAGAACCTCATGCATGCTATGTATTTTTTAAATGGATTTAGTTAAAGAGGGTTTTAATAGTCATCTTGAACTCCTTTCAAGCGTTTTTTTTTTTTTTCCATATATTTGTACATACTTGAAATGCACAACGATAATTTTGAGTGCTAATAACATTTCCGTTGAAGAATAAGATTTTTTATTTTCTATTTTTTTTATAGGGAAAGGAAGTCTTATGATATAAGTTATGATGTGCAACCTTCTTTTCGACATTTTAAAATGAGATAGTTTATATATAAAAAAGCAATTTTTATAGACTTTGTTTCCATGATAATTGGCTTTTTAGAGGTTAAGAGTACTTCATTGATTAACAAGCTTTAATGCATAGTGCAGCTAGATCTAGCATGGTTTGCGTGGTGCATATATAATGGCTATCATGGGTCCGCGATTATGACTTGATTAGAGTTTTACAAAAGTCATATTGATTTGATGGATCTTGACCCCCCCATTATACCACTTACAAGTTTTTAATAGTCCCTGATGACTGTTAAATTTCATCAAAGACAATATCATCTTTGTGCCATAATTATGAGATTAGGCAACTTATTCTCGGCACTCTTCGGGTGGTGAAGAATATCATACCACATGTTTAGAAATGCTGGTCCTGGACTCTTGATTAACCCCATAAATAACAACGCGAGTCTTGACCCAGTAGGGTTTAGTCATCAGAAAATGATAATTATGTTCCTTAGATGGCCAGTGCGGACGCACACTCACAGTCGTGCGATCTTTCTTACACGCCGATGGCTATGAGCATGAAAGTTCTTACTCACAAACCGTTAGATCAGGGTCCAAATGACATTTCTCCCAAAAATAGAAGTATAACTTTATCGGCATTTGAGTATCAACTGTTGGATTGTAACCCAATGTGATTGATGAACATTAATGTCATATTAACGAGTTAATAGGTGATCAAAATTGTATGCATGGTGAAGTATAACACATACTTGGATTTAAATCTCCTACCTGGCTTCAGTTCTATCGCCATTTTCAGTACAAGAATAGCTGTAGATTTTATAATACCCTTTCTCTTCCCCTACTCAAGGCTTGCGAGGGAAGAGATTGTGGACTGATATGAACACTCTATGACCATTTTATGTTGCTTCAGTTGTTTCCTTTTGGTTATATACATTTTCAATTTATGATGTGCTTATCAAAGTATCCATGTTGCTCTCTATTAATGCTTCTCTATGTTCAGTAATGAGGTTGACAACATTGATTGCCGAAATTAGTGAGGTTTTGATTTAATTGTTGAAGTGTAGCTAGTCTTTGTTGAACATTCTGAAAGCAACAAGTTGAATTCATATATTTGATATCTTAGCAGAGGAAATATGTCATGTTCATTTGACATACTTAAATAGGGTTTGTTGCATGTAAATCCCTGAAGAAAAATGATTTCAACACAACATTTTATTCCCACTGCACACTCTTATTTATTTACGTCATTTCATTTTTCTATAATTTATTCAATCCAAATATACTAAATAAATAAGGATGTGCAAAAAAAAAAAAAAGAATGATTGTACATAAATCACTTCCTGAATTTGAATCTTCAAATAGGAAACTTCATTCTAATCCTTGTCAAAGATGACTTTTAGACTAAAACCATGAGTAAGATCAATATCTAATTTTAGTCCCTTGAAACATTAATCACCTCATTTATTAATTATATTTTGATGTTTTAATTATTTCTCTTTTTCTTCCTAATTTTAATGTAATAATATTATTTCATTATAATTATAATTTCATTTCATTCATCGTAATATATTTTGTTGTAAACATTTAGATAAACTAATTTTTGTTATACAATATATTCCAATATACTTTGTCTTCTTCATTTAGTTACATTAATTCATTTGATATATTTTAGTGTGTATATTTCGATACACACATTAGGTACATTAATTCAATATAATACATATCAGTGCATGCATTTTGGTACTAATATTTTGGTATATTAGTTCAATATAATATATTTCGGTATTAACATTAAGGTACAATATTTGAGTCATTCAAGTATGAACAATTTTAAATAAAATTAATAAATTTAAAAAACTTTTTATTGGTTAAAAAATAAATTAAAATGTGTATATTAATAAATTCAAATATTTAATGGGAGACATTGAATAAAATACTCATTAATTAATTTGAATTAAGGACACATCAAGGGAATCTAATCAATGTGTAATCTAACACCAAATTTTTATTAAATTTCAATCTTTTGCAAGGATTAAAGTTAAAAACCCCATGTTCAAATCATAATTATCAACGGGTTAACACACTCAAATATCTTCACCGCAAGTGTAGGGCCTTGGGAATTAGCTAGATTTCCAGTTAACAGTTGAATACCACTTCTTGTTGTCCAGACACTTTCTAGTAAAGTTGAAAACCAAGGTGTCTTCTTGGAATGGGCGACGACCACATTATTTGCTTAAAAGAAACATCCTTTATGATTGCTGACATAATTTTCCAAGTTGGTTAGCTATCATCCTATTACTATTATTTTTCGTACCTTTGCCAAGGTTTGGTGCAATACTCTGAAAATTCCAAGGACTGGGTGCAATATATTCAGAAAATTCATAATTTTATTGTCGTGGTGAATTTGGAATGTTTCTTTTTCGGTGTGAATCATGGTTCGTCCGTCAGTAATACTATTAACACAGTTGTGAATCATCAAATTGTCAGCCATGACTCGTGGAACCCAACACATAGGGTAAATAATGCGATTAGTATAGTGGTAAATGTAAATTTATACCAGTCATTAAACTTCTAGTGGATATATATTTTATCTGTTAATGACTTGTAAGACATTATCAACTGATTTGGATTCCCTTTTGGTAACTCTGTTGTGGAATTGAAGGTTAGCAGAAGGTACAAGCAATATCATCAACAAATGCAAATGGTGGTTGCTTCCTTCGAATCAGTTTCCGGTCTGAGTTCCGCTACGCCGTACATATGCATGGCCCTAAACGCAGTCTCAAGACACTTCAGGTGTCTTACAAATTCCATCAAGGACCAGCTCAAGCACACAAGGAAGGCTTTGGGAGAGGAATATATGTCATCCTCTGTAACTGCTGCTGGTACTGCTGAGTGCAGTAGTAAAGGTGAGAAAAATTTCGCCAAGCTAAAGTATATGGGCCTAGGTTTCCAAAAGCATAATAAGTCTGGCGGTGGGTCCCTTGTGGGTTTCTCTGAACCCCAACAACACGTCTGGAGACCCCAGAGAGGCCTACCTGAACGTTCAGTAGCCATTCTCAGAACTTGGCTCTTCGAGCATTTTCTTCACCCGTACGTACCCATCTCTCTCTCTCTTTCTGTCTCTCTCTCTTAATCATTCTCTCTCTCTCTCTCTCTCTCTCTCTCTCTCTCTCAATCATTCTTTCGTATTCGGGTGGTAACTGGTTTTTTTATTAGGTATCCTACTGACACAGATAAGCACATGTTAGCCACTCAAACGGGTCTATCTCGAAACCAGGTAGGGTAACCTACTCAATATCTAATTATCATGTTTACAGTTCTTTATCAAGTTGGTTTTTCTGTTTGAATAATCAAATTGAATAAGCAATTAGCAAGATTTGAATTAAATAAATAGATAGCCTGTAAGAAAATTAAAGCAAATTAGTAGATAGTCTCATGTAGGTCGCGTTTACTGTTAATTGTGCCATCGTACATGATGACATGTTGCGAGCTTACTTCTTCCTTGTATTTCAAGTCATTTGAATAAGGGTCATGCTGATATTGACATAATTATGAACCATAATGCAGGTGTCAAACTGGTTCATAAACGCCCGAGTGCGCGTTTGGAAGCCCATGGTTGAAGAAATACACATGCTCGAGACCAGAGGAGGCTCCTTCGAAGCAGGCCAAGATCCTATCATTAAGGATGGAAATTCTGCAAATGAAGGCACCAGCAGCAGGCCAAACAATGATCACCAACTAAGCATGAATGTGATGCCCAATAGACAATTAGAGTGCTCAGTTGATGCAGAGCAACGAAATCAGGAGATGAAGAGGTCTAGATTGGAGTGCCAAGTTCCATCAAACATGGACGGAGGATTAATGGGTTTTGTCCAGGACCAGCGAGGAGGGTTTGAGGCTGGGGGACTTGGAGCCGTGTCCCTTACTTGGGTCTCAGACATGGGGTGGAAAGTGCCCAGCAGCAGCAACAACTGCAGCAACAAGAGGATCAGCTTCGGCGGCAACTTGGAGGTCAAATGATACGTGATTATGCGGGGTAATTTACGACACGAAGGTTAAGCAAAATAAGAACAAGGTGTAGCTCTGCTAGGCTCCCATTTCGGTAGGCCGTGTTAGAAAACAAATTAAAGATTGCAATGGAGTATTAGGTTTAGGACGTGAGGTTTAAATTGTGACAGAGCTAGTGAGAGGAGCTGGATAGAATTTGGATGGAGCGACAGGCTTTTAAAGAACTGTTCATATTAATGTGGCAGAATGTTTCTTCACTATTGAAATTTGAAATATCGACAGGTTGTGAAAAATACATTGTGACATGAACTCAAGAAAGTTGTATGTGTCCGACCAAATGATTAAAAACATAAAAACAAAAAGGGTAAATTACACTATTTCTTCAGGTTTTAGATCTATTACAATCACATACATTTTTAAAACATTTCACTTTCATACTTTAATTATCATTTTATTGCAATATAGTACCTTTGTAACATTTTTCATCTATTGATCCATTAAAAACTGATGTGGATGTCACAGTTATGCAACGTGACAAAAAAATAATTTTTTATTTATTTAAAATATTATAATAATTTACCCTTAAAAAAACCAAATTGAAACTCACCTCTGCGCAACCCTCCACCCTTGCAAACAAACCTTCCCCCTGGACCCACCCTCCTAATTTAATGCCTACGGGAGCTGATTTGCAAAGTTGGTCCGAATCGTTGTCCTAATTTTGTTGGTCCCGTGAAATCTCCATTTTGGGCTTCACCATCAGCAGAAGCCTGGGCTTCTTCGTCGGGTGGGGGCTCTCCACCTCGTCCTCGCCGGATACGAAGAAGTCGCGAGAGAACTCGGGCAGCGCCGGCAGGTTCAGGTCAAACGTCTCTCGGGGGTGGCCGTGGCTGATTGCGTGAGAAGTTGACGCGACTCCCTCAGAGGAAGTTATAGAGCTTGTGGTAGCGGTGGATCCTGCGGCGCCGCCATTGTAGTGGCAGCGCTTGTGGCCGCCCAAGGCTTGACCGGTGGGGAAACACTTGTGGCATATGGAGCACTGGTGGGACCTTCCCGAAGGGGTGGCGGTGGTGGTGGCGGAGGTTGTGGTGGTTGAGGACGTGGACGGACCTTTGACGACCGATCCAGCGGCAGAGCCTTTTCGGTGGCTAGCCTTGTGTCCTCCCAGTGCTTGGTAAGAAGAGAAGCCCTTGTCGCAAACAGAGCACTTGTAGCTTACGTTAGCCGGCGGTGCTGCTGACGTGGAGGGCTCCATAGAAGGGGACTGGTGTGAGGCAGCGGTGGTGATGGGGAAGGGCTGTGATGGTGATGGGAGGAGAGGGGAGGGTGGTCGGGGGGGGCGGTTTCTGGGTTTGTTTGTAGGGGTGCGGGGGGGGTTGCGCAGAGGTGGTTTTTTTTAATTATTTTTTATTATATATATATATTTTTTAATTTTATTTTAAGGGTAAATGATTATAATATTTTAAATGAATAAAAAAGTATTTTTTTAGTCATGTGACACACATTTGTCAGTCACGTCAGCTTTTAACAAATCAATGGATGAAAAATGTAATGGAGGTACTATATTGAATTAAAATAGTAGTTGAGGCATGAAAGTGAAATGTTTTGAAGATATTGTATGCGATTGTAATAGACCCCAAATCTGAGGGATACAATGTAATTTACCTAAACAAAAAATGTTAAATGTTTGTACGTTTATAAATTATCCATGGCAGGTTGAGTTCTCGATTATGTTGCATGGGACGGTAAATGACAAAAAATAAAGACGCGGACACGGCAACAAAAATACAATAATTTATAACAAATATTGCATACATTTAAATAAGAGTTTAAATTCATAATATAACAAAGTATTCATGTTCATTAAATTAATTCACTATAATAATTAAACGATAAACATAATAATTAAAATGGGTATATACTCTACGAGGGTCTTACTCCTTATACGGAAATGGATCCTCTATGGACCCCTTCTACCTAATTCATCAAATCTGTGGATCCGTGTTATTGAAATTTGATCAAACGGCTAAAGTTATTATAACTTTTAAAGTGGGTCCTTGTTTGTAACCGTTGAATCAATTTTCAATGACACAGATCCACTGATTTGGTGGATTAGAAGAAAGGGATTCGGAGAGGATCCCTTTCCTCCTTATAGTGCTATTATATGATTTTTTTAATTAATTTTTTGTTTTTTTGTGATTGATTAGTGATATGTAGGAATGATAAAGAGAGAATTGAAACAAACGAGAGAGGTGAGAGGATTAAAACGTAGGAGTGAAGTGAAATTCACCGTCTCACTTACAAACAATTGAATTTCAAAAGAGAAAACGGTGTCGATGAAAATTGGGAAATTTAAAAAAAATAATCAAATTTAGACATCATATAGAATCATAGCCATCATTTTAATTTTATAATAATTATAACTTAAATTTAAAGCAAAAGTACTAATATACCTTTCATATTAGGGTTTCTCACAACAACCAAAACACACTTGACATACTTGATTGGTTGGATGATCTTATCTAGGCTCCCATAACATGAATAGGTCCCACACTCCCACAAGAGTATATTAGTACTTTTACATCAAATTTTAGTTATAATTATCATAAAATTAAAATGGTGACTATAATTATATATGGGGTCCCAAATTTACATAACATGACATTAAGAGTATATTAGTACTTTTAACATTAAATTTTGATTATAATTATCATAAAATTAAAATGGTGACTATAATTTATATGGGGTCCAAAATTTGGTTATTTTTCCAAATTCCTTTGAAAATGTAGGTTGTCTTCCACAGTTTCACTGAGGGTAACCAGTTTCAGAGGCACACGGCGAATCCCGACGACTATAATAGTTGGTAGAGACGTGCCCGAACAGTGCCTTGACCTTGTCCAAATTGTATCCGAGACGTGTCCCAAGCGTATCCACGTGTCAGAGTGTCCGTCCGTGCAACCTAGGTTCTCGATGGGCAGTTTGGGGACTTTATTCGGGTAATGGGGTTATAAGTTTGGATTTGCACGCATTGGTTGGGCGTGCTAAACTAATGGACTCAACCTCAAATGAATATATAGTGGAAGTGAAATAATTTCCCTACGCACTCTTATTATTTATGTTCTTCGATTTGCTTTGATTTGTTCAAACAGTCTCAACAATAATAAAAAAATGAAATCGATTATTCGTATCTACAACTCATACAACCCGTTTCCAAAGAGTAGGCCTAGCAATTTTTACACGATCCGTTAATACAACACGATAATAACGGATTTTGGATAAACACGATAACTAATTGAGTCGTTATTGGGTCACCCGTTAAGGATTCGTTACTACTCGTTAGTAACGGGTTCTTAACGGGTTTACATGCGGGTAACTCGTGGGCAACCCATTTCGACTCGTTAAGAAAAAAATTATGTTGATGATTTTAAAGTTAAACTACTAAAAAAACTTACTATAAAATACAATAGCAGTAATGCATATTTTGTATATTTAATATTTGTTATTATTATACTATATAAGTTAAAAAAAATTATGTTTTATTTATTTATTTATTTTTATTATGAGAGTTTCTTCTTATAGTATTAGTATAGGCAAAAATACATACTTTCAATTTTAGAGTCAACTACCTAACAAAGTTGTTTACTCTCTCATGCACTCAACTCCAAAATCCGAAACCATAATCCATATACCTTGGATTTATATTTAACTGTTGATTGTCGTTTACGCTTTATTCTTCTCATTGAATTTCTTTTTTCCAGATTTTCTTTTTTGTAAACATGATGTTTTAACATATATAGAAAAATGAACGGTTCAGATCATTGATATCACGTTCCGATATTTACGGTTAACTGATTTATGAGTCGTATAGTTTCTAGAGACTTTATAAATCCGAGCAATATTTTCACTAACGGTAAAACTTTGAACGTAATATCCAAACCGTTCATCTTCCTGCATCCTCTAAAAGATCATGTTTTCATAAAAAGAAAATCTGAAAAAAAATAAAATTCCGTGAAAAGAATGGAACGTAAATGTGAACGACAATCAACGATTAAATTTCGATCTATAATTTATGTGATTATAGTGGCGAAATTCGAAGTTGAGCTCTTCATGAAAGTTGTAAAGTGTGTCATTACGAGCGTTTATTATTTTTATTAATATGTTTCACACTTTTACACTAATTTATATGTGATACTTGAAAGACAATGTGTTTTTTATGTTTTAAAGTAATACTTATGTGACATTGTGGTATGTATATACTAATTTAGTACTATGTTTTTTCATTTGATTATTTATTGATTTATAATATATTTTCTTTAACGGGTAACGGGTTGGGTGATATTACCCGTTAATAATAACGAGTTGAATTTGAGTCGTGTCATATTATCCGTTTATTTTAATAGATGTCACACGATATGACCTGTTAAAATATTGAAGATGACATGAAACGATACGAATATGAAAAACACGAAACTAATGCCGGATCTACCTAAGAGAAATCATTTTTAGGAATACTTAAAGGGGTCGTTGGGGTCACTCCACATTTCGGTTCAATAATTGGAACTGTTTAGATTTTAAGATTCTCATTTAAGAATCATCAAAGCACAAATTCAACAAAATACGAAATGGTAGTAAGTAAATTCGCATATAATACACATATTTTTTGACTTGTACTTATCTATATTTTGTCATCCTCTTATCGTTATAGGTCTTGACTTGTACTTACCTATATTTTTTGTTGTTGTTATTTATGAGCAATGCCGCTAGCACCCCTTTGGAAAGTAGTAGTTAGTAAATTCGCATATAATACACATATTATATGTGTATTTATGTATTTTTTTAAATACTTTTGTTTTTGTAAATATTTTAATAATTCGTTAAATGACTTCAACGTACAGTAAGCGTATTAAATATGTACGTACTTTTCACGTTTAATACATATTCTTTTTATACATTTTTCAGTAATATTATATAAAATTTAGGGAAATAGATAGATATAAGATATTTTCTTAATCTTGGGATAGAAATAGAACAAACTGACAATGCACAAGCCATGCACGCCATGCACAAAACCAAAATTACTAAAATACCCACATATAAATACTAAAAATCATTAGCCCATTGCATCACTTTTCTCATTTGGAAGAGAGGGAATAAAGAAAGCTCTGTGAGCTTTGGGTTTCTAGGTTGAGCTCAGATCTTCGAGCTTTGATTTCGAAGACAGGAAAGTCCAAAGAGAGGTGAGAAGAGTGAGCTGGTTTTGGGTTGACCTCATACCTCTGATTTCGAACAAAGGGATGTGAGAGATAGTTGAGAAGGGTGAGCTGGGTTTTGTACCATATTTTCTGTTTTGGCTAGAAAGTTCCATTTTTTTCGGCGACTGAAGCTTCGACCGACATAGTAAGGTAGGGTGTTTAGTTCTAAGTTCCTTCATCAATGATTTATGGAGTAAATGGATTGTTTGTAAGATGAATTAATAAGAAGTTAAATTAGGGTTTTTGTTTCATGTTGGGGCCTATGAGTTGCGGAATAAATTTCAAGTTTTGTCGTGCTACAAAACTGGGATAGAACAATTTCTAGTTCAAGGGTCCAATTGCAGAAATTTGTGAAATTTTTTCCGTAATATGCATGTGGTATGCATATGGTGTGCATGGCTACATCTTCATATGAGAAATGAGAATTTTCACTAGTTATGATGCATGTATGTTGTGCCAATAATTTAGCAAGTATGACCACAACCTAGTGTTGGAAAATATTAGTATTTTATAATTATTTGGGTTTTTTTTGTTAGTTTAGTATATAGGCTTAACCCATCCGAATTAGGGTTTCTAGGTTTTTCTCTTTATAAATATAGCTTATAGTTTATTATGAAGATAAGTTAGTCACAATGTAGTCTCTTGGGATTTTGTAGCCGTTTAGGCATTCTCGTTTGTTTAATAATATTCTTATTATTTTGTAGTCTTACTCGTCGCACACTTTGATATTCTACTTGGCATCAGAGCAGGTTTGATCATTTGGGATTTAATCTATTCTTGATTCGTATCAGTATGCCTGTTTGTGCTGTCCGTTGTTTATTTTTGGTTTAGATTGTCGTTGGTGTTGTTTGAAAAACAAAAAATTTGGAAAAGAAAAACTGTCATCACGTTGAGCCTTCAAAGCCGCGTCGCACTGGAGCCAATTTGAAACGTAAGGTCTATAATCGAAGCCACCACACCCAATATCTATGACCACCCCACCATCGCCTGCATGACTCACTACCGTCGCACCCAGATCCATCTCGCATCAGATTAGCACTGCGCTGCGCACCACCCGTTGCCAGACCCAGCTAATCAACTTATACCCAACCCAT